ACTTCCAGCTTTAAGTCTTACATAAGAGAAGGAATCATGACTCCAAATAATGTCTTCGTCCTCACCCCACAGATGCTGCTTCAAGGGACTGGGCAGCAGTGTCAACTTTTAAAATCTGTAACTTGCCGTTTGAATATTTTGGTCAGCTAGATTGAGAGGTTCCTTTACCGTACATCTCTGCATCCTGATCTAGCTTTATTGCTACTGTAACATGGTCTTATTGGCACACGGAGATTTGAACCAATTGGTATGACTATCTACAATGTATCGTGTCTGTAATAGCACTAACATCTTCATTTACTTATGAAGTGCTTTGGAACCTTTCAATGGTATAACTTTTTAGACAGGTCTTTCAAGTAGGAATATAAAAATTTGTATGTCTTATTTTTCTCTCTCTCCAAGAATTAGGAACATCAGGGTTTGGTTTGGTTTTCTTCTCACCTGGAAGACAGGGAGGACTTTCTCCCTCCAGTCAATCTCAAGGCTAATTTATGTTTTTTATTGTGTTTGGTTTTTGATTTCTTTCTCTCTTTTTCTTTTTGGGTAACTGTGCAAACTGTGTGATTACACTAAATCACTGTAGTTGCTGTCTTCTCACACGGATTTTAAGGAATCAGTAGTTCCAGTTTGGTTGTTGGTGTCTTTCTATCAGCCAGTCTTACCATCCTTCCTTAGCTTCAAAAAGGGGGGAAATAATAATTTTGTGCAAGTATATTTTTGGACAAAGTGGGGAAACGTCAAAGTTACCCATGTTGTCTTACTCTTCTATTGGGCATGAGAAAGTCATGTATGTCAACACACTCTTGACACACTGTCTCGGCATATCCAGACAGCCCATCTTAAAGCAAACAAAAAAAATTAACAAGATTTCTTCACATTCTTAACTTCTGAAGTTTGGTTTTCTTCTGCAGTGACTTGGGAGGCTCACGGACCATAACTATTTTAGAGAAGTAGGAACAGTCACAAGAGACCCCTTACTACCTTTTATCCATGCTTGATTTTACATTGCTACACTTTCCTGATCAAAATGAAATGGCAGCAACAACCCAGAAGAGTGAACACACACACACACACACACACACACACACACACACACACACACACACACACACACACACCACTTGATCAGGGCAAATGTGAATGTTAAATTGGAGGAAGAAAAACATCTTGGTTCACTTCCATTATACAGAAACGTCTGAAGGTGCACTGTAGAGAATGTGGCTCCGTGTATTGATCTGGAAGTGCTTTTGAAAGAATGCTACACGGAAGCATTTTGCTGGTTTAAATTCAGCTGCAGTCAACACTGGAATACAAGGAGTTAGCATGCAGTAGCTGTTTGCAGGCAGGCAATTGTGGAACCGGGGAGCTGGTTTGAGACCACAAGAGACCCCCGTTCCCTGCAAAAGGAGGATTTCCAGGGCTTGGATTCAAAATGCTTTTGAATAGCAAGCCTATTGCCTCCTGCGTCTTGCATACAAAGCAATGAGCACATGGCACAGGCTGTACTGAAAAATTCTGGCTTTTAGCATAATTCTTAATAGGTTGCCAGACATCAGACTCGAGCCACTTGGCAACTAACCAGATGCCTTTGCCAGAGAGTTCACAGATGGGCCAATAGGCAAAGAGGCTGCAAAAATAAAATCCATCCTCTCCACCTGTGCATATCCAGGTAAAGCACAGAAGTAGGGAGGTATAACAACATATGCATATAGCAATTCAGCATACTGAGCCTTCTGTCTGGAACAAAGAAAACCTTGTTGTTTCATAGCCCTAGCCTTGCACTGAAGCAAGAACCTGATCCCACAACACCCAGTAGTGGATCAGAGCCCGGGCTTGCAAAGCCAGTGCACAGAGACTTTTGGATTAGTGAGGATGATAACATGCTCTGCCCTAGAGGTATAAACCACATGCTTCCCTGTTGCCTCTGAGCTTGGTGACAATCTTCAAAGTAGCTAGAAAAAAGAAGACAGATTTTTTTCCAGTAACAATAAATTGTTTTGAAGTAGGATATGTGTTTATCTGCACATATAATCTCCCCCTTTCTCACATACACACACATCCCAGAGATGGGAAAGTTAGCAGAATATAATAAACAATTGAACTAACTTTTATTGGGGCTATGCATCGTCATGTTGCATCTAATTTATGACACCCATAATTGGCTTTTCAAGATATGTTAAATATTTAAGAAGTGGTTTTGCCACTGCTACTACTCATTGAGTTTTGGTGTCCTCAGGGTGGAACAGGAGGAGCCTTAAATATCACCAAAATGCCACCAGATGGCCAGCAGGAGTTCTAATTTAGTGGCAATTTTCAAGTATTAAAGGCTCCTTCCCCACATCCCAAGGCTGGGAAGGTTTCCCCAAGGCAAAAGGGATCTTTAGCAAGCCTCAGAACCTGAAAGGTAGGACAGGAAGTTTTCAATTAAATTATATTAAGCATCTCAGTCACCAGATGATGACGTTCAAATTATGTAGTGCAAAGGAATGTGAACAGGATTTCCAGCCGCTCATTTGGTGATTCAACATTTAATGCAGGTCCCAAAGCAGTATAATTAAAAATGCAATGCAAAGTGAGTTGTATTGACAACTACCTGTGTTTTAGCTCATCTGTTGAAATTTTTAGTTGCCACTAGCATTATTAAATCAAATCCATTACTATTATCCATATGCACACAGTCAAAGCAAATCAACACAGTTGCATGCATTTTCAGGTTTTTTCTTGGTTCTGTGTATGTCAGGACTATCTTAATGAATGCCAGGACTTTAATATTTGCCACTTTGTCACTAGCAACACTAAATGGACACCAGTGTTCTATTAATGAATTCTCAATTACATTGTGAAAACCGGAGGAAAATCCATGAAGCAGGAGTCTGTATTCTCACTTAAACATATAATTAAAACTGCCAGGCCTCAGGATACCAACGCCTGGGAACTGCTATGCTTCTCCAGGTCGGAAGACTACATTCAGGGCAAGTGGCATGGAAGAAGAGGAACTCTGCTTTTCGTATTTGCTTGGTGGTTTTAAAGCCTGCATACCTGTTTGTATACATTCCGATAGACACCGGGGCTCACCTGCTCAATGTAAAGGTGTTTGCAGGTGGACTCTACCTGCCAGTATTAGCACTTTAAAAGGCTGGGAGTGAAGGAAGCAATGGCTTCATGCACTTGGGCCTATTATGCCATTTGGAGCACTGCAGAGTGTGGAGTACCAGATTTGCAACTCATAAGCCTTAGCAGAAGCGATGCAGAATCTGCAAGAAATTGTTCTGTTGGCTGGCAATAAGCGTCCCACAAGCTCCAGTAGCAGGATACAGCCTGGAGGACGTCCCATTCACCTATCATGTGTGCTGCAGGTGAGGCAAGTAGGGCCTTTGTGCTGTAGCTAAAGTCATGTCATCCTCCACCCCAACCTTCCCCACCTGCCTTTCTCACATCACAAGGAACCACTCATGTGACATAACCATCTCTCACTTCAGAAAAAATTCTGCCCCTAGTGGTAGAAATGGATTAAGTAGCTTTGCATTAGTTCCTATGGGAAGTAATGAATCAACTTGCGAACCGCCCCTCAACTTAAGAACCAAAAACAGCTGGAACAGATTAAATGGTTTTCAATGCATTCCTATGGGAAATGCTGATTCGACTTACGAATTTTTCGGGTTAAGAACGGATGTCCGGAACGGATTAAGTTAGTAAGTCGAGGGCCCACTGTATATCTTGAAACAGAGCTTTCCCACACACTCTTTTGTTGCTTGCTTGCTTGATTGCTTGCCTGCTTGCTTTCATAAGCCGAACAATACATTTAGATCTGAATGCATTTCAAATGACACACCTAGAAGTAAAATAGGCCCTATAGTTCCATGTATATTCCTTATTCCTCTGCCCAACTCCTTACCCCTGGATCTCTTGGCCTTCTTATCTGGTGATAACAAAAAAAAAATCTGGCCTATTTGTTGCTTGCAGTTCTGCAGTGGAGACATACCATGTTACAGGATCATGCAAAATTTCATGGTCCCAGGGCACCTTAGTTTGTACAAAACACTTAATTGCAAATGTTACAATTTAGAAGTGCCATGCCAAAGTTTTCAGGGGGAAGAGAGAAAGTAGGTGGAGAGAGAATGTGGAGATGGGGGCAGGGGGAGAGAGAATGTAGAATGTGGAAATGATCATATTTGTGTGGAGTGGATCTGAAAAGTTTGTATTCACTTGGTCAGGTCAAGCAAAGGCATTGACCTGATAAAAGATAAACATTTCCTGATCATGTCACCTAAGAACTGACTTTGTTGTAGTTGCTTTAAGTAATTACCTTATTTATGCATTTATGCACATGCTCAGTGTCATTTTGAAACTTACCACTTAGAGCTATAAAAGAGAAACTGTTTTATTATTCAGAGATAGTCATTATATATACAGTATTGTGTGTGTCAGTGATAGTGATTTTCCACTTTTGAAAGCAATACAGTTTATTGTATATTACTAACTATGTTCTGTTTTGTGACCCCCCAGCCAGAGAACTGGGACAAGTCTTTCTAACAGTTGCAATGCGAGGGAAAGAGCAAGGAAGCTGCTATGTGTACCCTCAAGGGAATTTGTTGACAAGGGAACATTGGTTATTTATAACAAGGCATCACCACAAAAGAAGAATGAATGGGTGCAGAAACAGTGGAGGCAACCTAGAAAAGCAACTGAAGATAGAAATATATCTATCCAACTGGAACTGCAGAAGAAAAAATCATGCAAAGGTTAATAGGATTTCCTTACATAAGGAGCTGGCAGAGAGGCTTACAACTGAGCCATGATCATCTATTGGTGTATTTGTGAGCAGGAACCAGACACATATAGTCATCAAACTTTTAAAAGCAGGAACCACTGTCTTTCCAGCAATTACTCCATGCACCATGGCAGAGAACCCAAATGGCTTAGGTCCAGTCTTACGGATAAAGCCTAGATTTTGCCCTGCTCCAAACCCAAACATCTTTCTCATCAGCCATGCCACCTACCTGAGATGTTGGTTGTGATCTCAGTCAGAGCTGTTTGTCCAAAGCCCTTGCCAGTCCGTGCCCGAACTGAGAAGAGGTAGGTTGTTCCAGGATGCAGGTTGGAAAAAACATGGTATGTTTCATTTCGAAGCTTAGAAACAGTTCGTCGCGGGCCAGGCACATTTACTGCAGGATCAGAGGATTCGATGCTCTGGTAGCTGATCTAGGATGACAACATCAGTAAGAGAAAGCAAAAGATAGCTTTGCAGATATTGTATCTGCAGAGATTAAAGCATTCTCCTGTTTTATTTTCAAGAAAATCTCTACCAGGTAGCCTTGTCTGTTTGAGGCATTCCTCCCTATCAGCAAAGATAGATTCCACAGAGGTAGGGCTTCCCCAAGTTGTTAATTTTCAGAGATTCAAAACAGAAGCATTACTGTCAACACATTACTATTACCATTAATCTGAAGATTAATTTGTTGAAGTTAATAATAGTGAATATTATGATAAACATTATTAATGCCTTACTTTTACATTCTAAAAAGTTAATTAGGATTACTAGAAAAATATCAAAAATACTGCTCCAATTGCTGCTCTAAAGTAAGGAATTAAAGTAATACAAAGTGTCAGTTGTTACACAAATCACTGACATTATTGACCTTAAAATGACAAGATAAAATTGTGAAAAATTATAATAATAGTGAACAAATTAACTTTTCACATTAATTCCAAGGTGTTGTTAGCTTGTACATTATTTTAGATCATACAGCGTTTACCTAAAACCACAGAAACCATCTTTTTCTATTATATTATCCCCGCCTTCAACCCCAGTTTTGTTTTTTTTGTTTGTTTGTTCATCCCAATAACAATAAAAAGCAGACTGTTTCAGGGATGGAAGGATGAATGAATGTAGTGAACACAGTTCTAGTATTTCAAGACTTGAAGAGCTTGTACCCATGCGAGGGTATTGCTCCACATTCTTTCCCCTTCAAACACTAACCAGTCTGCTACTAAAATCTGGGCATACCATATTTTTCCATGTATAAGACTATACTTTTGTCTAAAATCTTTACACTAAAAATTGAGGGTCATCATATACACGGAAGCTGAGGAGAGAACAAAAACAAGTGGAGGGGAAAGCAGGGATCAAAGCGGTCCTGAAGCTTTGATCCCTTTCCCCCTGCATTTGCTAAGCCCCACTTATTTTTCTTAATTTTGGATTAGAAAAGTGGGGGCGTCTTATACAGAGAAAAATACGATAATTCCAGCTAAATACCTATTAAGTCCCACTGACTGGCTTGTTCTTGTGCCTGTAGGCAAACTGCTGTTGCATCATTCTGTTGTTCAGATTTATTCCACATGAAGCAATGGAACACAGAAGCAACTAATTAATAGTAATTTGTCCCTTTCCCCAATAATAAAGGTATAATTATACCACATTTTGACTGTAGTTTCATGAATGATGGCATCATTTCTTTTATAATACTCTTCCTGGTTACTTTTGTTGGGGGTGGTTATTCTTCTTGTTATAGGAGTGAGGCTTCACTAAATGAATTTACCTTGTTACTTGTCAGAGCCCCCCTCTCTCAGAGTGACTTCCCATCTCACTTGCACTTCCCAATCTATGATGTTACCAGAAATCTGTAACTAGGAACTGGGCCTTCTCTGTGGTGGCCACCATGTTGTGGAACTCCCTCCCTGCAGAAGTGCATCAGGCCCTTTCCTTCTTTGGCTTCAGGAAAAAAGCAAAGACTTTACCCAGGCATTTCATATTCTTGCCCCTCTTTAACTTTCACTTTTGGTCTCTCTGACTTTTGATGACCTGCAATGCTATAGGCTGATTGTTCGGTTTGCTGCCACCTTTTATCAGAGTATAGAATGTATTATTTATTGAGGTTGAGAAGGTTTTTGTCTAATGTTTTTCATCAATGTCACTGGTGAATTTTACTTTATGTTTATGTTGTTGGCTATATTGTAAGCTGCCCAGAGTAGTGGCCTAGCCACTAGATAGGCAGGGTAAAAAAATCAAGATAAAATAAAATAAAATAAATGTAGGAGAATATCACATCATTCAAGAACTTGCTTCTGCTGTGCCTGCAGATGGTTCCTTGTGTTCTGCCAAGAATGCTGAAGTGACAACAAAGAAGATGGGAGAAGAGCCAGCAGCTTGAGCGTTTAGTTTTATCCTCATAAGTAACTACAAATGCAACTCTTTAGTTACTTTTGATCCAGAGAAAATAGCTACTTTTCAAAACCGTAATTGTAACAGTAACTGACAACTTGAGAGGTAGAAGTCTTAGAGTTACAGTAATTACTTTCTAAAATACAAGCTTCCAAGCTTTGGGTTTCTTTTTTTTCTCTGTTCCTATTCCTTAGTTCCTGTGTTCCAGGTCCTTGGCAGGCTCAAAGTTAGGCCACTATTCATCACAACTTGGAAAAAAAATAAATATTATTGCTAGCTTGCAGGAAGAATTAAATGAGCTGTAGTCCCAAGAAAATGACAGTTCCAATTTCTGTCACCAGTGACTGCCATTCATCTCCCTTTAAATCTTGTTTTTGCACTGGGTAGCTGAGCTTGAGAACTATTTTGCATTTATTTCATTTCTACTTCACCTTTCTCCCCCCAAAACCGGGACACAAGATGGCTTGAAAGGTGTGAGGGAGGACACCAGCAGTGTTCTGATCTTGCCTGGCAGAGCTCTAGAAAGTCCTTGGCTCCCAGACCCCCCGGAGCAGTGGAGCCTTCTCAGTTACAGTGCTGGCATTGAGAATACCAGTGTGACAGACAAGAGGAGGGTCCAGGGGAATGAAAGGAGTGGACTCCACTGCCCCCTACCCACCTATATCGTCCATCATTAAAAGGACTCAAACCAGGGCCAGGACTGATCCTCCCTTCCTGTTTTACAAGACCAGGAATCTGAGGGATCCTGGAGTCATTAATCAGGGGCTCTCTCTTGAAATAACATTCCCTGCAGGAAAGGTTAGTGCAGGGGAGTCAATCTTTCCATTAAGGGTCTTGAAAATTCCATGCCTATTCCGAGCCATCCATCTCGGGAAATAACAGCTGTTTCTGGTTATCCTTCCAACCTGAAGCCTATACAGTTATTACCAGGAAACCTTGCAACTGCTGGCCCCACTGGGAGCAGTATCAGCAATGCTCACACAATGTAATTAAAAGACAAGTATAATTTTATAAAATCATAAATATTAAAACCGTATTAAGTCAGACTAAAATAGTGCAACTAAAAGCATCACAGTAAAAATGGTAATTATAATTAACAGCTCTTTTAAACCCTAGTCAGATCGCAAAGACGTGCCTAAACAGGAAGGGTTTTCCATGCCTGTTGGAAGGACATCAGAGAGGTATCTGACCTAGCTTTGTCCATCAAGGAGTTTGGGAACAACCACCAAAAAGATCCTCTCCTGTATCCTCCCAAAGGGGCCTCTAAAGGAAGCACAGCTGAGAGAAAGGCCTTTCCTGCAGATCTGAAAGCTCAATCAAGTTGGCACTGAATGCAGTTTTTCTGATTGTTTTAACTGCCTAGTGTCCCCAGCCTGCCACCACTAAGAGTCATTGTGGATAATCAACACAATGCCTTCCAGTTGGACCTCGGGCATTCCTCATAAGGCTCCAGAGCTTTGTGAGAAATGAAGAGGATGGCTTCATGAGAGTATACTGTATTTGCCACCAGATAGGGAGCCCCATTAATGTAAACCACCAGAAAATATTTTAAGCCGGACAAAATATAAATTGTAAAGAAGGGTAATAGCTTCATCTGCAAAGGAATATTGAAACAGAGTTCCCTTATTTGCAGAAGGCCCCATTCATGTGTCCCAAAGCTTTGTGCCCTAGAATTTGTCCCAATTCTAGAATGCTGTTTTTCCATGTTTCTTGCAATTCTGTTCACAAAGGGAGAGGGCATGCCTTGCATGAAGAAGATCAATCTCCAGGATCTCTACTGACAAGGAAGCAAGGGATGGGAAGATATTTGTATGCTTCAGACGCTGGAGTTCAGAAAGATGATGCACAGCTAGGCAGACTGATGAAGTGTTATATACAGTAGCCTCTTCTTATATTGCTAAAATAGTACCAAACAAGACATACATCCTAATGTAAATAAGAGAGAAAAGTTCAGATTCTACATTAAAGGCAAATGCATATTTCCTCCACAAGAAAACTGTAGTGTCTTCCCATTGCCTAATTACAAAGCAAAAGGCACGCTAATTTGTCATATGCAGATTGAGGCAAGCTGGTGTTAACAATAAACAGATACCCTTTTCCTCTTTCCACAGCTTCTGAATGTAGAATAAGTGAGGGATAAGGTCTATAGCAGTAAAAAGAGTGAGGGAAGATATTTGTAAAAAAGGCCTGATGAATTTTGAAAAGTAATTGTCCAAATAATGTTGAATATTCATAACTCTTCCTTCCACACACACACAAACACCCGCCTTGAAATTTCATCTCTCTTTCATAGTAGGCTTAGGAAAATGTTCCCAATTTTTACGCAATATATCAAACAACAGAAAACTGAGTCCAATGTGTTCTTGGAATTAAACGAATCTCTGTTTTCTCTTTCATTTAGAGTTACAAACAGAGGCACCGTTCTTTTTTTTTTTAAAGGCAAAACAGAGACTTACTGAAATACTGTGCCATCAAATATGCTTCTCAGAACACATACAGGCATGACCAAACCCACGCTGGCACAGAATGGAGTTCAAATTCTTCAGCTTCTACAGAGGAGCTAACCAACGACTGAAAGCTTTGCTAAACTGAACAATGTTTAATTCTTTTAGGTCTTCGAACCAAACTAAACAAAAGGCTAAAAACTAGCGAACTATCCCATTTCCCCAAAAATAAGACCTATCCTGAAAATCAGACCTAGTATAATTTTTCAGGACGCTCGTAATATAAGCCCTACCCCAAAAATAAGCCCTAGTTAAGGGAAGGCCCGCTCTCTACCCTTGTGCAGCATTGTGCAGCAACCAGATGATGACATGACTGTAAAATAAAACATCCCCTGAAAATAAATCCTAATGTGTTTTTTGGAGCAAAAATTAATATAAGACCCTATCTTATTTTCGGGGAAACATGGTAGCATGTCAGGGAGAAAACTGATCTAGTTTTCTTGTTCTTGGCATGCTTGTTTTCTATTTGCAGGGAATAATTTCAAATGGGACCTATTTACTCAGCTGTGATTCTCCACCTGGAGTTTCAAGTGGTTCAGCCAGACACCCATTTATACTCTGCCCGACTGAGAACGTGTAGATTGGGAAATGAAAAGCAGCTTGAATTCTGTATTCCAAACAATGGGTTCTGAATGAACTATAAAGTTGTCCTTAATCTTCAAGACTGCAAAACATTGTCTCCAGAATTACAATGGAGCCTGTGTCAATTCCCCAGCAGACAGCAGACAGCCTGCAGCTTGGTAGGAAGAGCTGCATAGATAAGAATCAGCTTTTTCACTCCGCTGTTTCTGCGCTCTAATAATTTTCGTTGATGCTAGAGAGGACAGAAGCAGAGGACGAAAAGCAAAACAAGATAAGAAAGCAAAGCAAAGCGTGCTGCTTATATACCGCCCCGTAGCGCTTCAAGCACTGTGGGTTTTGCCTGGCTGCCTTTGGGAGGGAAGATGTGGCAGAAACCAAACACACACACCTGGACACACACACATGTCTGTGCAAGAAGCTATACTATAACAATACTATAACAATGTCCTCTTTTCTCTCTGCTCGGAAGGGAGTAAACAAAGGAAAGCTATCTCCTCGAAGCCTTGCAGGACAAACAGCACATTCCATGAACTGGTTCTCTTGAAGTTCTCTGCAGGCAGACCCGGGAAAAGGCCCTCCTAGATCAGCAGAGATGCTGCTGTCACTTGTGAGGTCTCCCTCAACCTTTCTTTAGCCCAAGGAATCCCCACAGCATCCATCTCCTGCTCTGTCTTTCAAACAGCAACATTTGGAAAGTTACATTAAAAAACACACAACTAGTTACCATTCTAGGACTGCCCAGACCGCCCCAAAGTAGTAAGCTGTTATATTGTACTGGCTAGAATCCTATTTCTTATGCCCGCTAGTGTAAATCCATCAGCATATATTTCCATGCTCATTTCTTCCAGTTAAACAATCAGTGTTTGCTCATAATGTAGTTTTTTTATTACAAAAAACAATGATTAACTTGTTATTTGTAATTTGCAACTTCCAAGCTCTCCACAACCATGATAGTCAGTGAGTCAATGGGGATCTGACTCCACCAAAGTCATTTGTGGTCTTTGAATGCACTTCAGCTCATCCCTAAGTGGGTCCCCTTTCATAAATGACCAAGTCAGCTTTCTGCACCACCTACTAGCCCTCCCAGATTAACCTATGATAGGAAAGAGGAATTTTGAAACCAGCCCTCTGAGCTTCCCTAAATGTCCACACACTCCCTATGACATTATCATTTGCTGATTGACTAACAAGGTTTTTCCTAGAGTTGTGCAGATTTGTGTTTTTAACTACAACTCCCAAAAAGTGTCTAGTCCACCTCCCTCCAATTCTGGAAGGTTTAAAGGTCTCCTATAAGTAAAGCCAGCCTACATGGCCTTGGCCAAAGCTGCATAGCCCTGGGACATCCTCCAAAAAAGGAAAGTGTAAGCCACTTCAGAGTTCTTTCTATCTAGAAAGCCATGAAAAGCATCACCAGAAGTCAGAATTGACTTGATGGTTTCTTATTCCTATTCTTCTTATTATTATTAAATAATAATAACCAGGCACTGTCAATCAAAATTATGAGAACATTGACAGGTTTTATATAACAGATACACTTTTTAATCCAAAACCTAAGTATCTGTTAAATATCAGCGTAGTACGTATGTTGTTCCTAATATTGCCATTTTTTGTAGCTCTAATGGTGTTTTTTTCTGAGATCTGCAAAAGCCACAATGACTACTAAAGTGTGTTTCTTCCACAGGTGAGATGTTTCGATTGTCAGGTCTCTAATACTTTGTTAGTTTTTCCAATTCTTTATTTTCAGCTCTGGCATCCCCTGGAATTGCAATGTCAATGATCCAGATATTTCTTTGTTCTATTACTACTATGTCTGGTGTGTTATGTTTGAGGTGTCTATCAGTTTGGATCCGGAAATCCTGCAAGATCTTCACTTCCTCATTTTCTGACACCTTCTCTGTCTGATGTTCCCATGGGTTTTTGATGGCTGGCAAGTTATATTTTTTGCCTATTGACCAGTACACTAATTTTGCCACTCTATCATGCCTAATGTTGCTATCTGTTTGTGCAATCTTTAGACATTTGCAGATGAGTTTCCCCTTTTTCTTGGCAGAGTCAATTAGTGCTGTTAGCACTACAGTAATTCCTTGGATCTTAGCTTTCATCACACTAATTCCTTGGATCAGCTTTCATCATGTTGCTTTGGAGTGTTTGTTCTTCTGCAGCAAAAATCAAGCCTTTGGGGTTTTTTTTTTTCTTTATGGTCCTCAATTTTAGCCATGCTCATGCTGAATTATTATCATGCTTTCCATCAATATTTCTCAGGTGTTGTCCAGGTAGTGATTTGTTTTACCAACTGTTTGATTTATTTTCAAATTCTTGTTTCTTATATTGAGCCTTTGTTTCTTCTTTTTTCTCCTTCTCCTTATTTAAGGTTTAGTTACCGGTAATAAGAACATTTGGCTAAAGAATATCTAGCATTTTTGTTCCTCCCCTTTTGCCTTTGGCCCTATCCAATATGGCCCTGCAGAATCTCAAAGAACTTGGGCTAAAAGAGCTTTCCATAAACTTTCCTCTCGGAGATCTATATGCATCCTGAGAACAACATACATATTGATGAGGAGGGAGGATTTGCTGCTCCACCTCAGGGAGCAAAACCTTCAAGCATGTTGCCCTGTTGGAAATAACAGCTGTGAGAATGATGTGGAGATTCTTTTTTGGACCATGTGCATTGAAACAGGGAGTGATGCTTTTTCTACTTTATTCCTACCAACTTCTCCATCCTCCAAAGCTGTTATTAGCCTCTGAAGTTATTCCGAATATTTCTAAATAAGCAAACAAAGCATTAAAAAAAACCTGGGAGAGAGCATCATCTAATAAATATATCACAAATTTAAACCAGCATTGTGTATTTGTGACAAGATGGAAGGGTACATGCCTTTCTCTTTAAGTTGTAATAATCTACCAGCATCGTCTCCTGGGTATTTTGAAAAGAAGTATTACCCTCTCAAACAAATATTGATGTGGAGTCATTTTTATAATGACTCTGTGTGTGTGTGTGTTTGTGTGTTTGTGTGTGTGTTTGAAAAGCAGGATCACATTGTTTCAGTCATAATTCTACAAATAAACTGAGTGACTAAATGTGTGTTCTGGTAAGTGAAAAAGGATTATTTAAAAAATCTATGAACATATAGTTAAGGGCTTTTTTTAAAAAAAAGTAGATGATAAAACAGTGACTGGAATCCTACTGAGGTCTGCGTAAGAATTGTACAATATCCTGCAGCTAATTGACAAAGCGCCATTCAATGAGCAGGTCGTGCTGTGCTGGTGTGTCCTTGCTGGCAGAACTTCTAGTGGCAGGATCTTCTTTGTAGTGGCAACTAGACATGGGGACAAATAAAAAAATGAATCGTGATATTCGTTAAAAATCACTGATTCATTAAATATTCATCCCTTCGTATGTCTGAGTTCCAGAGACCCCAACGAATACAAAGGGGTGAACATTGCCCCTCTTTTATTCGTCCCCCATAGGAAGAGCCGGAAGGCTCTCTGCCTATGGATCCTCACAGCCAGGCACTCCCGACAGCCTGTCCCCCACCCCTTCCCCTCCCTCCCTTAGTTGCTGCCATCATCCGGCGGCACCGCTGTCCATTGCTGCCCAATGCAGTGGCCTCCACAGCCTGCCGTAAGGGAATCTGGGCTGCCCTTTGCAAAGATGGCGGATGTGGCTTCTTTTAGGGCAGGGAAGCTGCAGCCACCACTTTTGCAAAGGGCGGCCCAGATTCCCTCAAGGCAGGCCATAGCGGTGAAGGCCACCGCAGTGAGAGGTGGTGGATGATGTCTGTGGAGGCTGCTGTGGCGCAGGTTGCCACAGATGGCGGTGGTGGTGACATAGATTGCAGCAGCCAAGGCAGGGAGGTGACAGGGGTAGTGGGAAGGGGGCAGGGGGCAGGGAAGCAGGCTATGGGGGTGGGAGGTTCACCTTTTTTAAAAAAAATTACCCAACAAACCGATTTGTGGTTCATCGGTTCATGGGGAGGAGATTCGTGGTTCGTCAGCTTTGATGGATTCACCATCTCTAGCAGTAACAACTTCATAAAACAAGCTTGAAAGAGATTAATGTCTACATTAATTTACACATACATGTATATATACTGTACATGCATGTGTATATATGTCTCTGTGTAGGTGTGCAAATTTGGAAAGAGGGGCTATTGTTCAATTGAGATGCTGTATGTTTCACCACTGAGGGGAAGATGCAGGTCTACACATGCTCTTGTTCAGCCTGCAAGCAAATAAATCCACTCTCAGTCTATTATCCGGGTACTAAGTTATGATGGGTAACTTCAAGGCCACTTCTCTTCTTTCCTAATGTCCTTTCCTTTAAATGGAGCTTGAACTAGAAATAGAAGACATCTTGAAACAGAATGCTGTCCTCTGAAATCCATTCAAGTAAAGGGCCGCCCGCTGTAAAGTAGCATACAAGGTGACCCTAAACTTCACAGTGTACACAATAAGAACATCTATTTCTTCAGAATGGGCTAAAATTCTTTGGGTTATTTTGTTTTGCTGTCAGTTTTCTTTCAGTGAAACTCCCTGCTAATTCTTGCAATGTTTATTTTTGCTTATCTCATGCTGGTATGAATTTTGTGGAGCTGCTGCTTTTTCGTACCTTGTCTGAGTATTATTTTCACTCTTTCCTTATTTGGTATAGTAGCAGGTTTTAGTTTATTTAAAAGGACAAAGACATAAACAAAGACATAAAGAAGCCGGCCAGCAAGCCTTCTTCAACTGGCCTTAGGACAGAAGTTCGGCACACTCCGCTCCACCAAAAGGATTTGCAACATACCTCATACTGAGTTATCAGACCATTGGGTTCCACTGGTTCCTCCCACTTTAGAAAAATCATGTCCTCCAGTGGGGTAAAAGTGAGGGACTCTGAAGCGATGCCTCCAGGAACTTGGATCAGGAAGAATGGGAGGAAAAATAGGAGAAATATCAGAAGACAGTCTTGTTATTTGGCTTTCTTGCCTGGCTCTACACAGCTATATAAACATGCACATTTCATTTATGTCATGTATATAGTCATAATTGTGCAAGTGGAAAAATACCACAAACACAACTGGATCCCAAACTCACAGTGTGTAAAACTGCAGCCACCATCCAACTGCCTTGATCATCCTAATACTTAGCATCTAAATTGGCCATTTTCTAAAGACTACATTAACAGGAAGGATCAGAACTCAAATGATACCTCTCATTCCTAATTGTTCTGGTTCTATGTTCTTAGAACACGGAAATTGTGGTCTGGAAATCCTGATGCACTCTCTGCAAGATCTAGACCTTGTATTTTTACGGTTCCAGATTATGCAGGGATAGTCTCAAGGTGGGCCTCACCATTAAGCAGAGTGATGTAGCTGTTGCTGTCAGCAGATGCTGGAAGGCAGGAGTCAGTGACATGATACTGGAGGCCAAAACTGGGAGCACCCTTGCTTCACCTCATTATATCTGTTGTCATCAGGTGCAGCGGAAACCATTCACCAGCAATGAAGTCAGATTCAGCTGTTAGTCTGGTTGTGCTTTGCACATGGAATGCAAAGGGGAACATCTATCCTGTCCTTTGCTGCAGCCAGTAAAATGGTTGGGCTGGCCCTGGAGAGTGTACATGTGTACGAAAAATGCTGGAAATGAGAACAGTGAGCAAGTGTTCCCCATTAGATCCTGCTCCACATTCTCATCGCTAGATATATGGTGTTTCTTCAACCATATGCAATTTGTTTCAAACACACACACATACACACACATACTCTCTCTCTCTGTCTCTCTGTCTCTCTGTCTCTCTCTCTCTCACACACACACACACACACACACACACACACACGGGGAGAGAGAGAGAGAGAGAGAGAGATACTCCAGTTAGACCTCAGGATGCCTTCCTGAAATACAGAACGATAACCAAAACAGTGGTAAATGAGGATTTACAAATGAAAATTTGAGCCATTTCCAAGTCTTTTGTACTAGATGAGGAGGAGGAGGAGGAGAAAGATGGAAAGAGGAAGGTGAAACACGAAACAGAGAATGTGCATGGCGCATGATGAAAAAAAGAGGCAAAAAAGGAAAGGAAAGTCAGTGGGGGAAAAGGCACTCCTACAGCCGCCTCATACACACAGTCTGTCTCAATCAAAGAACAATGGGTTAATTCTTACATTAAAATATAATAGTTGGTCTTTAAGGTGCCACATGTTTTTGTCTTTTTTTGTTTTGTCTCTTTGGATTTTGCCTGATGTGCAGACTAACACGGCTACCTCCTCCAAAACTACAACTCTTAAAAGGTTGGTGAAAAGCAAATTACAAACAAAGACCATGTGAAATGTGACGGTGTCAAGCGAGGTATTACTGTACACTATTACTCATTCATTTAATATCTCCTCCACTCATTAAGTGCTTGTGATGATGTGGAGATAAACTGAGGAGAAGAATAAATGCAAATTAAAACTAATCTTTTAACAAATGACACTGAATTAAGAAGAGATGCCATTACAATAAAACCAGAGAATGCTAATAAAACTACAGTGTAACATTTTGTCATCAGAAGCTTCATGGAACAATGTCAGAATGATCAACTAGTTGAAAAAGAAAAGGTAAATATGCCTGTAACCAGGAGTGGGGAGCACCGTGTCCATGAAGGAAGTGGGCATTTACTTGTCCCACCCCAAATTCTAGATTTATTTTTTAATTCTATTTTATAGAACCAGACACACTTTGTTGTGTTGGCATAAATCGTGCACATGAATTGGGTTGATACTACTACACAGCTGTGCACCCTTCTTTCATCCATTAAACATTTCCCCAAATGACGTTAGTGGGTGGTGGTTTCCATGACTGGGCCACTGGAATGCAAATTGCAAATTTACGTTGGCAGTTAGAATAAATATGGAATAAGGTTGCAATCTGAAGAATGTGTAGTTGAAAGCTAATTCCATAAAAACCCATAGGGTTTGGTTCAATGATATGCTAAAAACTAGGGGCATTAATGTGAAACTGGCAGTCTCTCTGGGAAATCTAACATATGGAAGGGAGTTCTTCAGCCTTCCACTCTCCCTCTTCCGTGGACATCGTATTTTGATTCCGGATGCCGCCACTGCACAATATGAACATAAGGAGCTCTGTGATCGGATGAGGGCGCAGAGCTGAGAAGTTAGATCTTTTGACCTTGCAACTACAGCCACAGTGCATTTGATGGATGTTTAAAAATGGTCCATAGGAAACCTTAACAAGGAGAGCGTTCACAGGTGAACATACTTTTATTTTCATATCTGGGATGAAAAGAACATGAGATTTTTAGAAAGAAAAAAAAACACACCACAAATTGAGAAGAAGCAAAACTGCCAGATTAGTCCATCCAGGTCCAGAGCTTTGACTGCTCACCTCTGGACAGTAACTGTGTTACTGAGTCGTAACTGAGTTAGAACCGGTGTTTCTTCCTCCTGACAAGCACCTCATCTCTGGCCACACAGGTACACTCTCCATGAGAGTCTGTTTCAGTTTGCTTTTACACAACTATGGAACAAACTAAGGATTTTTAAAACTCTCATAAGGGAAAAAGCAACACTGATAAATGTTCGTATATTATATCTTGCAAAACTGCCTCCCTCTCAACCAATTTTGTTTTGTTTTGTGTAGGAAACATTGTTACAAAGATTTAAACAGGTTGTTTGTGAATGCTGTTCCTGACCAAAACAAACAAAAAATGCTGATATTTTTGCTCACATGTAGAAATGAGAACACTTACATTAACCTTCCATTTCTTTTTCAGCAGTATCTCAATGTCTTTTCACTTTTAACAAGCAAAAATGCAACAACTCTTCAACAAAAAGACAAGATGTTAAATATTTTTCACATCCTGTATCTCTATTATATCTTGCAAAACTGCCTCCCTCTCAACCAATTTTGTTTTGTTTTGTGTAGGAAACATTGTTACAAAGATTTAAACAGGTTGTTTGTGAATGCTGTTCCTGACCAAAACAAACAAAAAAATGCTGGTATTTTTGCTCACTTGTAGAAATGAGAACACTTGCATTAACCGCCTATTTCTTTCTCAGCAGTATCTCATTTTTTTTTCCACTTTTAACAAGCAAAAATGCAACAGCTCTTTTTGTTGAAGACAAGATGTTAAATATTTTTCACATCCCTGATGTGAAGACAGCAGGACTAAAGTATGCAGAAACACACACAAATGTAAAACGCATCCCCTCCACACATGTGTGCAAACAGTACTTCGCTTTTTTGTAAAGATTGTACAATGCATTCGCCAGAACCGTCTGCACCATGCCAGCGTTACTGCAATGAATTAAACTAGTTAACAGGATCCCACTGGTCTCTCTTTGTCATATGCCAGTTGTCCAAGTTAGAGTAAAATGAAGGATATCATGAACTAGTACCATGCACATGGGTGTAACTCACTGATAGGATCCTGGCCACTGTTTCTCATAACTGGATCAACTCTCAGTACCCGACAGGGAAGTTTTGAAGAACACATGATAGCAATGCTTCCTCTGTGTCACCTACCCACTACTCCTGTCTGAATCAGAGTTTTCAAAATTACTTTTAATATAATGTTACATATATATATATATATTTCATGGCACCCTGATTAATTACTGTTACATACAGCTATGACCTCACCTGTCCGTCACTGCTAAAGCTGTGAGTCATCTACCAATGGTGTGACGGAGGGTGGGACATAAGGGGTGGAGCTGTGGTATAAATGGGAGTGAATGTGTGTGAGAGAGTTTACATAGGGCCAGATAGGGCTTTGATAGGGCTTGGATAGGGTTTAGAGAGATCTGTGATATATTGTGAGAGTCTGTGTATGCTAGTGCCTTTATTATAGTGATCGTTTCCAGGAAAATCGCTGTTATGCGAAAACATCGCAATTGCGATCGCAAAAATATTGTCGTAATGTGGTTTCATCGTAATGTGGGGCAATCGTAAAGCGAGGCACGACTGTACTCCTGTCTGAATCAGAGTTTTCAAAATTACTTTTAATATAATGTTACATATATATTTCCATGGCACCCTGAAGAAGTTAATTATCATTACAGTTAAAAAAATTTAAAAAACTTTATTTCCCAGTTTCTCAAACATAACTAAACCAGTACAGTTTTAAAAAAAATAAAAAACATTATTTCCCAGTTTCTCAAACATAACTAAAATAAATACTTAATGATGTAGTGATGTTTTCCAAATCCTGTGGCAAAGTTCCACCAGCAAAAGTCACTTTGAAGTCTCACATGAACCTATGGAAAGAAAGCTTCTGACCTCCCCTCCTCCACAGTTATGCATTTATTTATTTCCTAGAGAGCTCAAGGTAACGGGCAGGTTTTCTGCTGCCCTCGCACCGTTATTCTCACCGCTCAGCTACTTCACAGGGTACTTGTCACAGGCTTGACAGCAACTACGGAGCTCCATGGCTCAGCATTTTGAACCCGAACCTGTTCGGCCCCTAGTCTAACCTTCAAATCACACTAGTTTGGTAAACACATCCCAAAGGGAACTGGAACTTTCATGTCGACTTTGAAAGAACAAACTGAGAACAGAAAATTTAACAGCCAAGGGAAAAATCATACCATAAATTGAATGTATTTGCATAATCCAGAGCACTCTGGGCTGATTACAGCAGACAGGGCCCTCAATCCTCCACAAATTAGCACTCAGGCAAATACATGCCTGGTGAATCTACAGGCAATTGTCGCTCATGTATATTTTATAGGGACAGCTTAATTGCATTTTTTCCCCCGAATCCACAGCAGTCAACCCACTAACTAAAGGCAAAATAGGAGAGTCTGAGATGGAAAGGGGCAGAGACTGGATACCTGAGCAACAATTTTTGTTTTGCTTTTCTTTGTTTTGTTTTTAAAGCATACAACAACTGCTTGGGTCACACTTCACAATTAATC